ACGCACACAGTCAATAAACTTGGTAACTTAACTCTCTCTTTCCACATACGCATTGAAAAACATGTAAAATTAGAAGCTCACATTTTCAAATTAAAATGCTATTAATTATCAACAGTTGGTGTAGACAGCGATTTTAGCAAACATTTTTCAACAGGTGTTTTTGTGCATGAACGCGAGATTCAACATTGTGCATAAAGTAATTAAAAATCACAACTAAGTTAACATGGCTACAGTATGACTTTATGCATTTGCTGTCGGTAAAGTCTGTTACTGTACCAGCATAAGGCTACGAGCGGTTCGTACCTTTAAAGTTACTTTTTGTGATTAATAAATAATCTAAACTTTTTAAAGGTCTTTTTATTTATTAAATTAACTGCAGGGACTAGACGCGTGGGGCCCCGACCGGGGGCGAGGAAACGCGAAAATGCCCGAATACAGGCATCGGTTTCGGCGGCTCACTACAGGGAAAGGGAAAAGCAGGGAGAGGCTAGAGAGAAAAGATGGGAGTGGCATTCAGAGGAAGAGTTCCTCATGAACCGGATCTAATCGGTCGAGCGGTTGAAGGGTGCTCAGCAACCGCTGGCTTTCTTCTCTGGGTCCTTTCCGGGGACAAGGCCTTCTTCATCCCAAGCCCCTCGCCTCTGCCTGTTTTCTTTTCCCGGTCTGCGTGAGTAAAAGGGGGCTATTTAATAGGCAATTGAAAGGAGTTCGCGAATTATCATTACGATAATCTCTCGCCACAGAAGCAATAAATCCCTTGCGGTAGCTTCGTGGGCGTACTCATCTCTCTTTTCTGACTAACTAGCCTACCTCCTTCTTCTTAAAGTTAATTTCTTCTGTTGTTTTTATATACCGTTCTACCGTGTTATCTAGCCAATATATCCCGTTGATTCTGCGAGGAGCCCACGATTGTACTCCTTATATTTTTATTACATTGTATCCGAGATATTATTGAGTCCAATAGAGCATAGAGAGTAAGGGGTTTCGATTATTAGTTACAACTATTATTTTGCATTCAATGGTGATTAATCCAAAAATAAAAACGAAAGTCTGAAGTGCGTCATTGAACTAATTAAAGTTATGATTTATTGATATTCGAGCCACGTCAATCGTGAATATTGTGTAAGACTCATATAAAAAAAGGCGTTTTCTCGTTAGTTAAATATTATATCATTGTTTTAGGAGAAGTAGCGTTAATTTGTTACGAAGCGAGTTTATTCAAAAAGTTATATAATCTTAAGATACTAAAAAGTGAGTTGTGCGAATCAAGAAAAGCATATTATTTAGTTTATTTTAAATCCACGATTAATTGGGTTTGAATGGTGTTTGGTAACTGCGTTATGTTTTATTATGTTCTCATTTCCTTTTTCATTAAATAGATAAATTAGTCTTTGCATCGAGACCAAAGTTTGTAACTATTTTATAAGACAAGAGCTTTGAATATATTTTGGAATTGAATTATAATCATTCGTATTTTTGTTATTTAATACATTGTGCTCCTGGTTCCATCGCATCCCTTATCCCATATAAGGAAAAAACCCCGCACAACTTATTATTAAAAAGCTTTTTATTTCACACTATAAGATCAGCAAAGTCCAAACAATTTATCTATTCGAAATTCGCAAAAAAGATTATAGTATTATCATTATACATCATCGAGTCTATGATCTAGATATGGCTCAGTACTATACATTTGTTATCGAAGAGGACATGGATGGTTCTAAGAGTTCTCATATAAAAGTGCAGCCATCTACATATGTGCTGATGCGATGATCAATGTATTAAAATTACTTGTATACCTCTTAGAGTAATATTAAATGTCTTACTTAAATACAAGCATTAGAATCATTTCCTAATATACCTATTAAAAATCGAACTTGAGTTAAAAACAGATCAAATGAAGAACGAGAACTTATCCAAACCTACGGTGCGAGTGAATATACGGCTCCTGGGTATCTCAAGTGGTAAAGAAACTGTCTAGTGAACAGGAGGCTATGCGTTCGATCCGCACTCAGGGAGGATATTTTTCTGGCTTTTACTTAACATTAAGTAATTCAAGTTTTTATTTTGCCCTATAAGATCAACAAATTCCAAACAATTTATCTTTTTAATAGTCTTCTCACATTTAAATTTACTTATCGATGTTATACTAAAAGATTTAAATATAAATACTGCCATAATTGACCGTATAATTCATTTTTGTGCAGCGTCCATAAGAAGTTACAAATCAGGGAGACGAGGTTGTTAGTTCTTACACGACGGCGACGTAGAGTGATGTATGTCATCCACCTGGCGAAAACGTGATAAACGGTACAATACATTACAATACAATATTCAAACAGTTATAAATAGAAAGCAACAAAGCTTTGATAGATTAGTGGTTTGCGTGCCAGCTACCTAACCGAAGGTCATGAGTTCGAATTCCGTCAAAAAATATAGAGGTTTCTTTTCTCGAGCCATTTGAATAGGATAAGTACTCAGAATGCCGAAAAACCAGTTATCAAATTAAAAAAGAACGAGTAGTGAGTTTTTCTAGTGACATCTGGACATCCAGGGGATTCTTTTTTAAGGATAGCCAACACCTGGCCAGCTTAGTAGTAAAATCACTATCGATTTGGTACATTAAGTAAGGTGACAACAGCGAGTTAGATGGTTTATTGGAAGAGATTCTTCCAGTATGCTTGATTAAGCTGGGATTTACTTGAAACGATCGCTGCACCCTGTTTGTCAGTATGATGGATTATCGAGTCGTCTGAGGAAAATTTTGCAAGGAGGCTTGCACAAAACGACTTGCGTATTTGGGGAGAAAAAGGAGGATAATGATAAAAAAAAGGATGGTGTAGGTCAAGGATATAGGATACGTAAAATCGCAATGGATATACATGGAATCTAAGTACTAGGCTATAGTACAAAAAAAAGACTAGCGTATTTGACGGTATCACTCCTGGCATTTGTCTGCTAGTTTGAGCTTCATTATTGCAACACCTAAGCGGTAATGTGGCATTATAACTGATGCATAAGTGTTTACTACATTTTCTTCAACATGCAACAAGTGCAAAAGTTAAAAAAAAAATTTTTTTACTTAGATTTTATTCAAATGCATACGAAATATAAAAAAACTAATATCATGGTGTGATATAAATTATTATTTTTTTTTAAATTCATCATTGCCTCCTAAGATGCTCAGACATGGCCATTTTTACGCCATATACTGTATTTAGCCATAGGGTGGTTATATTTTAGTAGGTGAAAGGGTGGGGAACTAATCAGACGGTTTTTTGAAGCTCCAATCCCATCAAGAAAAAAAACACTTTTTAATGAAAACTTTTGTCTAAAGTAGGATTTGGACCCTGGCCATTAAGATCTGTAGGCAGGTACGCTACCAACAGAGACATACTATGGCTTGAAAATTTTTCTATTAATGCACCTTAATGTTCATTAACTTTAGAAGAACCCGTACAATTTATTATTCTTGCCTACCATGCTTTCTCTTTAATATATAGTGTTCTATCTGTTTTTTGAGGAGGATGTAATCACAAAATCGTTTCAAAACAATGTATGAAAAATGACATTAATATTCATGACGTGCCATTATTTTTAAAATAAATTTAACCTCACTTTCAACAAGTTGTATCAAAAAAAAAGAAATTGAGGTCATGTTGTAACGTCGTTTAACACCGTTGTGATTGGGTACCTTATTTTTCCTTTCCTCTTCATAAAAACCTGTTTTAATTTTTATTATTAGCATACCTCACTTACTTTTTTAGATCGATCATTACTTATTATTTCGTAAGTAATATTATCGTCATTTTATCATAAATAAAAATGTGCTCTTTAATACTCCCATACCCTTCAAAAAACGCAAAGGGTGTTTTTTGGTCTCTCATTTTTTACTTGATGTACGATAATTTTATACTCTGAATACATAGCGCATATTGTATTCCACATGTATACATGGTAAACACGCACGCGCAGGCACACATTCACACACAAAGACTTGCATCATTAATTATAACTTTGCGGATAGAAAAAGAAAAAGGGAAGTTTAACTAAAAGTTTACTTGCCTTGTGCATCCTTCAATTCTATCGACTTTTAAAAATTTCAATAACTAAATTGCGTGTGTGCGCCTACCATCAGTTTCACTAAAGAGTACTCTGACCATCCTTGAAGTAATGACAAACGGCAATGTTTATTTAAGCCCCTAAGGTAAAAGACCCAGTAGTCGATAACGAACCCAGTAGTCGATAACAAACCCAGTAGTCGATAACCACGTATTTTGTATTAATATATACGTAGGTTAGCTTGGATTTTCAATGCATAAGCATAGGACTTATCGATTACTGGGTCGTTATTGACTACTGGGTCCTTTACTTTACCGCTTTCGTGATGAAAACTGAAATGGGATGCTTTAGGAGAGCAGTGTTTGGTTTNATCTTAAAAAGTTATTAGAAATTAAACTTCATGGTGTGTGTGTTAGGTTAGATTTTCAATTCATAAGCAAAGGACTTATTAACTACTGGGTCCTTGTCAACTACTGGGTCCTTTACTTTAGCTAAAAATAGAAAAAAACAACACCCACACAAATAAAAAAGATCAATTGTTCATGCTCCATATCTCAATTCAATCACAGAAGAGAGACTTCAATAGACTGTAGCTTGTTGAATTGAAACGTAGGTGATCTCAAACACATGCGTGAGCTTCAGTCACTTTCGTAAAGTCAATCACTTTCGTCACTAGTTATAAGTTATATTCAACGGATCATCGATCACTTTCAATATCTAAAAGTTATATTATTTAATGAAGATGAAGTACATTAAATTAGAGTGAAATGTATTCGATAGGTAACACTGTGGACTGATACTGTAATTGGTTCAAATTTCACATTCTACATGCAAAAATTAATCAACAAATCTTGAGAAAAAACACTGAAATATTTCTTTAGTTAAAATTTCTCGTTAGTTTTCTAAATAATACACTTTTTCTATAAAAAATTAACAAAAAGAAGAAGAAAAAAAAAAGATCGCACTGCTTGCGTCCAGAACCTAGAATTGCAGAAGTGGTTAAGGTAACATAATAAATATTGTTTATTTGACAGTGTTAAGCCCAATCTTCTATTTTAATTATTTTTTGCAGAAAGTCTCTTATTTACTCGTAAAAGCCTGGTAGGTAACGTGAAGAGGAAGCTTCATTAATACTTTTCGTAAGAATTCGTCGATTATTTTTTACATCTAAAATACAAAATTAAAATTGGTAGCACCACCAAGTCCGTAATATTTATAACCAAGTGTTTTTGGCTTAAATTCAAATTGTGATCAAACGTTTACTTGATATATAATTTTCTTGACGGAAATGACCGGGACACACATTTTTCTTTGAAATTACCTTGTTCCCAATTTAATCAGCCACAGTCCATGTAAGGTGTAAATTTTTATCAACTAAAAGTTTATGTAAATACTTTTCCCTTTTATGTTTGCATTGAGGTACGGAATATTGTCGTTGATCACCACTTTGTAATAGTAAAATATTTACCAATATGTGACGTTTATCTTCATTTATTGCATTCGTTTCATTGATGTATTCCACCTAGGTGACAAAACAAAAAAAATTAATTTAGAAGTACTTAAAAAATTAGTGCATACATACCATCATTAAATTATCTTCCCCTTTAATCCTTTTTTGAGCAATAGTTCTTAAGAAGGCTTTGGCTTCTTCTTTTGTTTCATCATATTGTAAACATTTTTGAGCATAATGATTTGCGTCATCTAACTCATTAAGTTTTAAGTGATATTGGGTTAAAAATTTGTAAGCATGGCTTAATTCGGCTCTATCTGAATTTTTACATTCGTCTGTAACAAAATCAACATATGCTGCTGCTGCATTGTTGTGTTGACCTAATTTTTCATACAATCTATAACACAAAAAAGTAAATAATTTATTACAAAAAACATTGTAATAGCAATTAAAATTTTATTAAAGAGAAACAGAAAGCTTATTAAATATGATAGACTTTCTTGTCCCTGTCTTTTTAAACTGTTTGGGGCACCTAAGGGAGTTTTATCGGTTACAGAACGAACAATGAGGAATTAATAAAAATTTATTTACAAATAAATAAAGTCATGAAAATGGCACTGTCAAAATTTGAAGGCTCGAGGGTTCTTAGGAACCGAGTAATTATTATCCATATTTAACTAATTTTTGCATGTAGGCTTGTTGGCTGTCGTCCTTATAAGTGCTTTTATTGCATTTACTTTGCTGGTTAACAATGAGCTTTAGATAAAAATTTTATCATTGATAAAACAATATCTAATGATCGTATTTAATTTTATTGAACATTTCGAAGGTCCTTGCAAGAAAAGAAATTAAGTAACAAGCAAGGTAAAAACCACAAAAGGTTATGTCATCACAGGAGAGTAAGAAAGACAGCCGACATACTAAGCTATAGAGAGCATCGCATAGACTATATCAAGGGATTAAACATCTTTAAGAATACAACTATATATGTACATCTTCATAAGGGATGTATATTTTAGAGCACACAAAGCAAAAGAGTTTATTTCTTCAAATAACTGAAACATTATTTCTCAAAACTTACTATCTAATCATTTTCTTGGTTTAACTAATTGGCTTTTTCAGTGTTCTTTTTAAAATTGGTTTTTAGTTTTTTTTATAGATCGTTAACCAACAATTTATTGCAAAACAAGTTCTTTTTTCATGATACCAACTTGCACGTAGTACTGTTAATAGTTGTTAGTACTAATTGAGACTATTAATTATTATTTATAAAATTATGGAGTCATAACAAGTAATTGAATTACTGAAACAATTATGGATAAAAATTTTACATCAAAGCTAATTTAACTTCATAACTCAAGTTTTTAAACTCTGAGACCCTAGAACTGAAAACTTTTGAACCCCACAATATAAGGTTCAGTCAATTTTTAACTCATTCAAAAATAATTGAAAAATAGTTTTTAGAATTTTCACCTGATATAACTATCGTTTTTTCAATAATTACAGCTAGGCTTTAACTTTTAGTTTACAATAACTGCATGAAATTTTTAAAACATTTTGTAAAGAATTTATTGCAAAATTAGTGTTCATCGATGATATTAATCTGCGAATGTTGCTCATAGTAGTATACTCGGTATTGCTGACTTTTCAAGTATCCTCATCGATTATTTGATTACTGAATGGCCTAAATATGATCAATAAAAAAATTAAGCAACTCTTATGCATTGAGTATTTATAACCAAGAAATTCAATAAAATGTACACTGTAAGCTCTTATAACCTCAAAACCAAAGAAGGGTAAGGATACATGCTTTTAGTATGTACATTCTCAGAATTCTAATTCAAAAACCACAAAATATGAATGTACTGAGTATTGTATGATAAATAAGTAGCATGAACATAAAAAAATGGCGATATCTGTGTTCAGTAATGATTTGTGTCATAGTTACTACTGTTGTATTTTGTTACTTTAAGGTTACAGTCGCGTTTTAATTTTATAAATCATTTTAATCTTAAAAAGTTATTAGAAATTAAACTTCATGGTTTTCACTGCGAGTGTAAGATCTCGAACTTGAATAGTTTTAAGCTTCAAGCTTTCATAGCTTTTATATCCATTGAGTTCCATAAGTTTAATGAACTAAACTTTTTTTTAGGTATTAATTGTATAAGTAGCGAACTTTAAATCATTACAACTCTAAAATCTTGTAAGTTATATCCATCAAAGCCTTAAAATCTAAAAATGCAGTAAATTTAATGCCTCTTTACTCTTACAATCTTAAAATATGGTTTTTTTGTCTGCTAACATGATAGCAGAATTTGAAAATAACTAGAGATAGTGACAAAATGTAAAATGCAACACCTATCAGTCTAAACTGGCGAACTCTAAGCCCTTAATTTGCTTAATGTTGTATCATACAGGAAATGATTAGTGAATAAAAGATAGTAAATCATACGTTCAATGCACAATTCCTAAACACCGTGTACATGAATGAATTCTACATTAAAGAAATGTACAAAAGTTACACTACAATTTTTTGTCGAAACATTCAGCATTACCAAGTTGTGTTTTTGATACTATCAGTGATACATAAAGCTTTATTTAGTAACCATTATTCATGTTGGCGTCATTTTGTCTATCCCCTCTCTTCAGATACACGTAACGAATTTCACTAATAATTTTTTTATATAAATATCAAACACATTAATTGTAAACTATTAAAAATATAACTATTTGCGACAAGCATGGTTGGTAAAGATTACGGACCTATCAGTACAAAGTATAAGCTGCGGGGCACAGAAAACTTTGTGCAATTACTATGGCGAGTTGATCACTGACCACGAGAAGTAAAATTGCCCCAAAAGGAGATGAAATAAAGAGAACATACAACAAGAAAAACGAAGCAGTTTAAACAGGTACGAGCGAACCACAAAATTTATACATGGACAAAAAATCAAACATGATAAATGCATAAAAAAGAATAATGATAAATAAAAGAAATGAAAAAAACAGACAAATCAGAAGATAATGATAAGACTAGTAGTAATGACAAATTCAAATGGTAAAAGTACTAACAGTGGTAGCAAGAACCATAATATTCATAACAAAAACAAAGATAGTTCGCCAGTCTGTTCTCAAATGCTTATGAGAAAAGCGCATCTTCAAGTGCGAAGGCTTATATCGGTTTAATTACATGCAACATACAATAAATGTACAAAAAATTCCAAGTATAAGATTCTGGGATGAGCTGACAAGTGTCATTAGGGCATGACATTTTACATTATTTCAAACAGTTTTAAAAACAGTTTCCTAACTTGAAGGACATGAAATAAAATGATCAGATAGTGCGATAAAAAATTCATATATCAGAAAAATTAAATAAGTTGCCTTTTTCATGTATTAAAACTAGGGCTACAGAACCACTACAAGTTATGCATTCAGATGCAATTTATTTAGTAACCTACTTGGCTACGATATAAAAATGTTATTCAATAAAAGGTCAAGGCAGCAAATTAACAAAATGATTCACGATGAAAGTGCTCAAGCAATCGGGTGATACATTCCAATTAGCCAGTACAGATACTCCCAAGCACAACGGACTGTCAGAAATTTATAACCAGATCATTAAAAAAAAGTTAAGAAGTGTATGTTTGGTGTGAAGAATATGTGCGACATAGCCCTAAGCACTGCTGTATGTGCATACAATCGTACGCCTCACAATTCAATCGACTTAAACATACCGATACAAAGGTTTGCTCTGCCTGTTTCTGTACATGTTACACAAATAGAAAAATTTAGTTACTTAACATATGATAAGATCCAGTGAAATGCTGGATCAAAAGTCGAGAACATTGGTATTAAAGTTATCTTATGAGGATACATACTGATGGGATATATTCTACTTTGTCCGCAATCCAGAGAATTTTATCAAAGTCAATACATGCGGTTCAATGAAAAACTGGTAGACGGAGAACTTCACGGTAAAAACACGATTAAAGACTGGGAGAAAGTCTCTGAGTAAGTGAACAAGATACCTGATTCATGAACGCAAAAAATAAAGACGCAAATAAGGCAACAGAAACGGAGGGAGAAAAACTTCTAAGATAAAAACGTGGAGGACCTTGAAAAGACCTAGTGACTGAAAATACGAAAAACTCAGGAAGTACTTCTGGTGGTACAAGGTGGTGCAAATATCGTTTTATTGATCACATACGGGTATGGTTTCCATGAATATTTTAATAAATAATAAATAAACAATCATAAAGAATACGTTATAAAAATAAGAAAAGAACGAAGTATAGCCATGGAACGACGTGCTGCCAGGGTAGCCAATACGAGACTGTCCACTTTAATCGATCATCCCATTGTTTCAAAAGAACTTTCTACGCTGATATCTCTAACGTTGCGCTCGTACCTGTTACGTATGCTCACACACTCATCTAGACGCGTATATGACACCCACGACATAAATCTAGAAGAAGGCTTAGAAAAAATCTTTGAATAATAATACATGTCACTTAATGTTCCATAACTCAAAAAAGCCCTTTATTCACGAATAAAGAAATCCTGAAATAACAAGACACATTGAAAACCAAATAATTTAAGCATAGAACTTCGCACAAATAAACCAATAATAAAAATATATAAAATATTGTAAAACTCTGCTGGATAGCATTGAATAAATAATTACTTATTGATTCAAAAATTCAAAAACTGATGGGAGTGACATAAATATTTAAAAATAAACTAATCAATAAATAACAAATGAATACAGTAATTAAAAATAAGTGAGGAACCACAGGATAAGAAAAGTGAAAGGTAACCTCCTCTCAAAGAGACCTCACGAGTAACAAGATACGGCTCTCGGCTGTTATGAACGAGGGTGCGAGTTCGAATGTGGTAGAAATTTTTTTTTTTTGGAATTAAAATTAAAATTTTAATTCCGTCACATATTTTTTGATGGTAAAAATTTGTTAACCGTTGATTTCCTCTTGTGCGTAACGCGACTACAGAGTGTAACTTTAATGACTATTAAATAAATCTTACGTCAGCGCGACGTTTTATTTGGGTCCAAGCTTGCGCTTGATAACCCAGGATGTACACAGGGCGGGTAGATGGGACGCGGAGCTAAGGAATCGTTAAGAGTACGCAGCAAGGTATTTGAACTAGAGCACTTATTATTTTAAGTAGGGGATCAAATTTTTAACCGTTCAGAGTGGCTGCTGTAATGACCAATGGTGCACACTCAATAATTATGTTCAACCTCTTGCGATGCGCCTAGAGTTTATCGCTACTATCTGAAGCAGCGGTATATACTATAGTAGAAAACAGAGATGGTTTGTTTCGCAATCTAGAGGCTACCACTACCGTCTTGAGTAGAGGTGCATGCCTCAAAGTTAA